TTACAGGGGGCTGCACTGTAGCTCTGCTTCTTATGCATGTCTGACCTGAATAGCTGCTGAACAATGTGTTTTACTTGGGCAGGTCATTACGGGCGAGCGGCTTAGTTTATCAGACTGGTCTGACAGGTTGAGTCACTGGTGCCTCAACCCGAGTGGGTAGTGCAAACTGTCAGAACACCAGCTCACCACTGTGATGGCTGTCAGCCACCACGGACCATGGGCGATGTCAACATCCACTGACCCACCCCCAGCTAGAACAATTTATAGCAGTGAGGTACATTTTTGAGGTTTGTGACATACATTTTGGAAAAATATAATGTTCTGTGTGCCACTTGGTGTTGGGCAGGTAGTCTACAGTGGGGCTGTAAGAGATTTTCTGCCTGTTGCAGCTGGAAATGTGGTAGTGAGAGCAATAAGAACAGTAAACTGAAAGGTGCTAAAATGCTCCTGGGCGCTACCAGTAACATCAGAGTCAGCTGATGATTATCTATGGGTTCTTCACTATGAGGGGCCAACTTTCACAGAGGCATGTGACATGATGTTAATAAAGAAACCACTGGTTACTGCAGCTAGTGTTATGAAATAGGAAAGCAAGTTAAAGTTTTTGGTTAAACTGATTTTAGGTCTCAATGAGTTAAATGATTTTCTTACTCTAAGGTGAAGCGACATTTCTCTTCTCACCGCTTATTCTTTCACAAAGACAGTTATTCAACAAGTACTTTAATTATGATCACGTAAGACATAATTGATTTTTAAAAGAGGAAAATCTTTTGGCATGATTCACCCAGCAGTAAAGTCAGAGTCATGATCAAGACAGCAGAGCAGATGATAAATCTTATGAAAATGATTTGCAAATATCACTTATTTTGATGATATTTTGAAGGTCAGTGTGGTTTCTATAGGAACATGATTGAGAGCAAATTACTGCAGGAATACATAAAGGGGACATGAACACTGATGCTTGTGGGGTCCCTGAAGCAGCTTCATTTACTGCATTAGTGACACAGGGGAGATACAAACAACAAAACAGATATCCTTTAACGGACTTCATGACTCTTCGTCATGTTTGAGAGAGGCTATGCTGCAGTAAACTGGCCGGTGCTTTCCCGTGTCAGGCGTCAATGAATGAAGGCCACACCACCAGCTTTATTTAGTCGTCATATCAAACATTGTGAGCAATTCACATTTTCATTCAGTCAAGAGGAACAAATGCACAAATGTTCAAAACTGAGCTGCTCCTTCACAAGATCTCTCCATTATTATCATCGCCAGCTTTTACCAAACCCCCCGTTCGTCTGCCAGCTCCTCACAGTTCAGAGCAATCTCACTCTCATACAGCTTGTCCAGAAGGCTGCAGCTTTCCTGTGATCTCTAACATAAACCTATTTCAGCTCACACTCAGCTGACTGTTTCCACTCAATTTAAAGCACCAGTGTTTCCTTACAAATCAGCACCCTCCAGATACTACACTCTGACCTCGACAACTCTGGGACAGAGGGCATGGGGGCATACATTCGCTGCTGGCCACAAGCTCCTACCTATTAAAAAAAGCTTTGGATGTTTTGTGGCTTTATTAGTTTATTATTATAGCTGATATCCACAGAGAAGCAATACAAAGAAACGAGGAAGAAAGAGACGCAACCAGCTGGGTTTAAATCACGGTCCTCTTCCCTTAAACCACAGGGTGCCCCATGTCCATCTTTTAGATTTTATTCAGTGACATTTTTCCAACTTGGTTTTTAACATCGTGCTTAATGACACAAACTTTTCCCCCAAGATTAACCAAATAATCATTTAGTCTTGTGATCAGCTCTCATCACAAGGTTCATTCATTCATTCATTCATTTTCTACCGCTTAATCCCTGAACGGGGTCGCGGGGGGCCGGAGCCAATCCCGGCCAGCAATCAGTTGAAGGCGGGGTACACCCTGGACATAGGCAGGGCTAACACATAGATGAACAATCACACACACGCACACGCACTCCTATGGGCAATTTAAAGAGGCCAATCAACCTAAGCTGCACGTCTTTGGACTGTGGGAGGAAGCCGGAGTACCCGGAGAGAACCCACGCAAGCACGGGGAGAACATGCAAACTCCACACAGAAAGGTCCCGGGTGGGGCCCGAACCGAGAACCTTCTCACTGTGAGGCAACGGTGCTAACCACTGTGCCACCGTGCTGCCCAAAGGACGGGGCTGAAAGATGAGGTAGTAATGGGGAACACCTGGGAATCCAGCTTTCAAAACCTGACAGCCTCAAACGAGAAACATTTAAACTTCCCTTACAACAAGTACAAGACTGGAAACTCAGTAGCTAGGAACCAAGAACTGATGCAATTCTGGATCATCAAGAATCCAAATGCATATTCATTCAACACCCAAAGTACAGAGCAACCCTGCATAGAGCAGCTGCAATGATGCATTAAATTATCCACCTCGCATTAGTGTTATTGGCTGCTGGGCAGGCAGCTCGTTGATCACCATGACCGGGTTCATTACTGAAGTACGGTGCACTGTACTCACAGTCAGCTCTAAATTATTGATGCATTTTATAAACTAGAAACATACTGTACAGCCGAGATGAATAAGCAAAAGTCCTGTTCCTCTGAGAGACTGTTCTGGTGTAAAGCACGCCTATGCCGGAGGAAATCAACTCAGATCTGTGTGGGCTTGTCTTTGTGCGTGTTTAAGTCCCAGATTGTTACTTTATTCATTAAAGGCTCAGTTTGGCAGCTTTGAGCATTATGGAAAAAACACAGGAATGACAAAAAAAAAAAAAACAAGACTGCGCTACCAATCCTGTCAGTTCTGCTCACAATTACTTCTGATTTGAGCTTCTGTCAAGAGAATCTACATTGGAATGAATACCTGAGTCAATACCTTTAAACGGGAAAGTGACAGAAAACATTTCTGATTAACACAATGGCTGATTTTCCTCATCATATCACTGGATGGTACCAACTGTAGGGCAACAACATGTGGCAGGAGTTGTTTATCATTTCCATATTCAGCCATGTAGAGGATGTTATCCCTGCTGTGAGCCGCTGGTTATGCTAAGTATATGGTTTCCAGGGGATCCGTGATCCCACACGAAGCTGAAATATTCCTACAAAAGGTAGATGTAAACTTCCAGCTGAACACCAACTAAGAATTTGGTGATTGCAAGAGGAACTGTCAGAGCTTTAATAAAACACAGATGAACTATGCATCTTGCTCCACATGAACCAAAAATGGGCTATTTATTCATATGAATGATGCATTATCATTGTCAAAATACCTTCTGTGAAATAAATAAATGACAGAATTATTACCTGCAAATAAATGTCTATTTAGGGCTGTAAGGCTTGACGCCCATGATGATTAGCCAACAAAAGGGCTCCCGCTGAGCTTTCACTCAGGCTGCTCTCCCCCTCATAGTTTCTCGTCATGCCTAACAAGTGCCTTTGTGCTCATTAACAATCTGCCGCTCAGTGCTCTGCAGGGACCGCTGGTTCATTCAGCCCTCTGAGGGTGGTTGCTCAGAGCTGACGTCCACTTCATGCTGCTGATCTAATGTTATAAAGACACTGAGGTCAATGTAAATGCTGCTTTCTGCACCAGGAGGTGTGCACATAGAGTGGAGTACCAGACAGGCCAGCAGGGCACAGGTCCAGGAGCCTGAGAGGTCAGGGCGTCCCAGGCCACAGTCTGTGTATGAAAAGACTGTTATGTCTTGTTTGAAAGTGATACAACTCAGTAAAAAGACTAGAAATAAATGCTAAATGGCCATAATGAGATGTAGAGCCGTCCCAAAACAACTACAAAGAGACAGAAAATGACCATAAAGAGACATAGAATGATCAAAAAAGAGATGCAAAGCCATCAGAGAGAGATGCCAGACTTCTATAAAGAGGCACAGAACAACTATAAAGACAAATCAACTACAGTAATGGCCCTTTATAGGAGGGGTGGGGGGCCCACTTTCTCATCATTTGTCCACTGCTGTAGTGGAAGATGCTGACAGAGGTAGGCTTGTGACTGGTAGGTCACTGGTTCCACTCTCTGGATGAGCTGCTGTAGGACAGCGAGTCATGCTCTCGGCTCTCTTTGCAACTGATACTGAACTACAACTGCCGCCCTAATGTGTCTACATTGTAACACTAACACTGTTTAGCTGCCTATTTATAGCAGTAGTCAAGTAAATGTTAGGAATTTTTCCCCAAAGAAGAAGAATAAATTTGCCACAGATGGATTTCACAACTTGTGCAACACCTGACATGACGCCTCTATCTTTAGACCTCGGATCACAAAAGGAGAAACTCCACAAAAAAAAAAAAACAACCTTTATTGATAGAACCAAGAGCTGCACAGTGCAACTTCAACACAATAATCAACTTTTAAATTTCAGCATTTGACTAAACAAAACCCCTGATCCTCAGTTTGGATGAAAGATAAAGAAACCACCCGTCATGAATAAACCTATGGACATATCTGCTGAGGTTATTCACAAACGGCGACATGACGTCTCACCCAACGAGACCACATCTTGACAACAGTCCTTTTAACACAAACGGCTTAGGGAGCAGTTTGTTTCACTGTGACGTGCGTTACTCATCCTCAAAATAACAACATTACCATCTGGATAAAAACAGAAGATGTCATACAGAATTTATGAAAAAAATGTCTGATTGTAAATATTGTGCAAATCTGTAGCAGCCTACACGGTGAGAGACTGAGTGAAGCAATACTGACCTCCAGTGAGCCAAGGTTTAGAAAAAAAAAATCTGCTACAACACCTAAAAGGCTGCCTGCACAATATCTTTCATAGTTTTCCCTCAAAATGAGTCAAAATTTGGAAATGTATTTGTTGCAACACAACAATATATTAGCAATAATATGGAAATTGAGGTACTTAGGGCTAAAACCCAGGCTTGTCTCCAGCCTTTCCATACTCCCACAGTATGAAAAAACCATGCTGTGTTCTGGGGGCGGGGCAGCAGTGGGTGACATTTATGAGAACAACACATGGAGCATCGTTGGGAGCCAGAGCGCACCATGTGAAGGAGGGAGAGCTGAAACTCCTGACAAACAGGACACTACAGTAACTGGGAAACACATTTTCAGGTTTGCACGGGATTTTTCATCTGGGTTATCTTGAGATACACTTGATCAACAGGCTACAAGATCACCTCCAAACACTCCCTTAAGTGGGAATCTTCTCGTGCGCGAATCTCCACGTCGTCAGATTTGTAAACTAGCCGCAGAACCGCGCGTCTTTGATGAACTCTCCTGTCATTAGAGGACTGAGTCTGAATTCATGACAACATTCATCGGGTCCGGGATATATATAAAGCGCACACAGTCGGGATGGAGTCGTCTAATGCCAGCGGTATGGACGCGTTCACGGTGATCCATCTGAATTCCTCCTGGAGCGCGGACAGTGGATATTCTTTAGCAGCAATAGCCAGCATTGCTGCTCTAGTAAGTTTTCTCATTCTCTTTACCGTTGTTGGAAATATACTGGTGGTTATTGCTGTGTTAACGAGCAGAGCGCTGAAAGCTCCCCAGAACCTGTTTCTGGTGTCTCTGGCCACCGCGGACATCCTGGTCGCCACTTTAGTGATGCCGTTTTCTCTGGCGAACGAACTCATGGGCTACTGGTATTTTGGAAAAGTTTGGTGCGGTATTTATCTGGCTTTGGATGTTTTGTTTTGCACTTCGTCTATTGTGCATCTGTGCGCAATAAGCCTGGACCGGTACTGGTCTGTTACGCAGGCTGTAGAGTACAACCTGAAGCGGACTCCAAAACGCGTCAAGTGCATCATCGCAATCGTGTGGCTTATATCTGCTTTCATCTCATCTCCGCCGCTCATATCTATAGACAGCAACAGTGACATCAGCTCTCAGCCTCAGTGCGAGCTGAACGATGACACTTGGTACATTCTCTCCTCCAGCACCGCGTCCTTCTTCGCTCCCTGCTTAATCATGGTCCTCGTCTATATTAGAATATACCAGGTGGCCAAAACCAGAACCAGAAGCATGTCGGGAAAAAATCCCAGGCCAGATGGCGTTACACATACTGAGAATGGGCTGACCAAAGCCACCTCCACTTTCCATGGCGAGAAAGAGAATGGTCACTGTCAGTGCCCGCCTACGCCCAGCCAACGCACAGTCACCGCGGGGCCACCGACTGAGGATGCTGACATGGAGGAGAGCTCCTCCTCAGATGGCAAAGGTCACAAACCACAGCACCAGGACTCCCAGAGAGGCAGGAGGGCCAGCCAAACTAAAAGCTCCCTCTCCAAACACTCCACTCGCATCTCCAGAGTCAGTAACAAATCCATTGACATGTTTGCCTCCAGGATGAAACGTCGCCGGAGCTCCTTCACCAGGAAAAAGGTCTCTCAGGCCAGGGAGAAGAGGTTTACATTTGTCCTGGCTGTGGTTATGGGGGTATTTGTTGTTTGCTGGTTCCCATTTTTCTTTAGCTACAGCCTTTACGGGGTGTGCAGGGACTCCTGTAGGATTCCTGACCCACTCTTTAAATTCTTCTTCTGGATTGGATACTGTAACAGCTCCCTCAACCCTGCCATCTACACCATATTCAACCGGGACTTCAGACGCGCCTTCCAGAAGATCCTTTGCAAGTCGTGGAAAAAGTCCTTTTAGATCTGAAGCAGATGTGCTGCACCACATGACAATCTTAAAGGAAATATCAAAGTGAATTAAAAAAAACAAACATGTTACTGCCACTCATTACGTCTCATTGTCCTGTTGCAATCAGTCATGGCAGTGCACATCCTGATTCACCTACTGGGTGTCTGCACAAGCTTCAGCATAAATTGTGTTTCAATTACAGACTTTCGCGGCCTGATACATGAGGACCACTATTCTTTTACTCTTACTGAAGTTGTGCTGTAATGCTTTATAGTGTACCATCATCAATCAAGGTCTTTATACATCCTCAAAACATACGCACATGGATGGATTTATCTGCCAGGAAGCCCCAGGGGCAGAGATAAGCTGCTGGGGCCCCCTCAGCCTTCCTCGGTTTCTCCCACTCTCTGTGCAACGTGTACAATATTTCTATGCTTTGTGAGCTAGAACACTACCTGACCCCAGATCTGTGGTCTGGTAATTTAACACATTAACTTTGAAGGAATCTGCAGAATATTTGCACAAAGCTGAGATGATGGAGGTTTTAAATCTTGATTTTGACACAGGGATTCTTTTCAATATAGACATTTGAATGGATAGTTTGCATTTTGGGAAATCACCTCTTATTTGCTTTCTTGATGAGAGGAGAAATCCTTCTCTACTATAAATATGTAGCTGGAGTAAGTGGCTGGCTAGCTTAGCTTAGCATGAAGGCTGAAAGCAGAGGCAAACAGCTAGCCTAGCCTAGAAGCGCCTCTAAAGCTCTTTAATTATATCTCATTTGTTTAATCCACACAAAAACTGAAGTGTAAAAGAACAACAAATATCTCGTTTTCCAGGAGGTTATGTGTTGTCCTGGCAACCAGTGAGGACTCCCTGAAGTTACTGGCCGATAAAACTTGTGAACTCATTATTTTATGCTTCAGTTTATGTACAGACTAAGCAAAGCTGACATATGTTAGTTGGTGAGCTTTACAGGAGCTGGTAGGTGGATCCTGGTACCTTTGGACAAAGCCAGACTAGCTGTTTCCCCACCTAAGGGACCTTATCATATCAAGGTTGTGCTAAAAACCTTCAATTCAGTCAGATCTGTTCACCCACATTAAGCCTGGAACCTAGAGCACTTTAAGCAAAGCTCAAATTCTTTTAGAGGCCTGAAAGGCAAAAATTATGCAGCATTTTCCAGAAAATTGTTTTTTTTAAAAGTCAGAAAAATAATGTTCTTTTTTCCACTTCATGACCTTTGAGATTCATCTTTGTGGCTCCCAACCACTGACTCTAACAGATACAAACCCCTTTGTCCTTGTCCACTTGCCTTGATGTTGTTGACTGTGCCAGCTTTAAGATTTCTGAGTGTCTTTGCTATAAACAGACTCTAGACTGAAGGAAGAACAACTGAGCTTTTGAGCACCCGGATGCTTTGAGTGTATCCATGCCACCAAAGTATCATCATGGTAATTCATAACGCGGATGGGAAATAGCAAAGCACAACAGTAGATGAACTCCCCACAGTCATCGGTAGTGATGTCTCACGGGATGCTAAAACGTTGAGACGGACAGCGAAGGGCTGATGCTCCAGAATATAAGCTAATTATTTTTATGATGTGCAAATTAGGTCATTATTTTCAGAGGGACCAGTGACTACTGAGTGTTTAAGAACAAATTCAGTTATTTATCATTTATCTTTTAAGAAACTACCTCCCTGTTTGTTCACTTTTGTTTGTGTTGCCGTTTTTGGATTTGTATATTTCGAAGTGCAGTACACGTTTCCTCTGCTTAAGCTGTCTGCTGTCGTGTGAAAATAAAAGATGGACAAGTCTTAACGTCAGCTGCTGTTGTGGTGTTAAAACATGGATGGTCATGCATATGTGCACCAAATGCTTAAGTAGCTATTATATAGTTATTAAATGCTGTTTATTAATGGCCACGTTACACAGGCCATGTTACATTTTTGTCATCTGGCAATGTGTGACATTTCCTTCACTTCAAATTCATTAACAAACGTTGGCAGCTTCAGAATAATCAAGTGCAGCGGTCTCTCGGTCTGTAGATGTATGAGCTTTCATCAAATTAAAATGTGACAGGTGTTAATTTGATCTAACTCAGCAGTTTCCTTTTCAGCTGAAACATTTATACAGCGAGATCCAACATTTGGTTTTACGGGCTCGGTGCAAAATGTTATCCGTCTTAATTTGGTAGAAAAATTAAACAGTCATGAGCAGACTGGTAACTACAAAACTGCTCATTATCTCTGCCTGTCAGGGGACTTTAGGGCAACACAAGTCCACATTGCACTTTCTTGGGGTTTGGGCTGTGAAATCAATGAGGATGCCACCGTGAGGTCAAAAAGAGGATCAGTCCCTGTGGTGGGCTGTGGCAATGCCTGTTTTAGGGTGTTGGTGACCTCTCAGCACAACAGGTTTGATGTAGCTTTTGGCTGCCTCAAAATCTAATCTTCCCCTGAGCCTCTTTGGGCAGGACTGAGGTAAAACCTGAATTCTCAAAATTAAACTCTTGCTGCTTTTCCTCCTACTTCTCTGCTGTGGCTGAGTGTGCGCAGCCAAAAACCATTTGTAACGAGCTACGAATCCATCTGTTCTGTCGGCTGTTTACAGCCACCGGGGATTTATGTCCCAAAAAACAAAAGGAAACAGTGTCAGTCTGTGTAACTGTTTGAATAAAGAGAATAAACACAGAGGCCTAACATGGTGGATGGACGACAGCAGGCAGTTATCTCTTGTACAAAGTGGTGACATATTTTCCCTGTAATAAAAACAGTCTTTTGACATATTACCATAGCTGAGATTTTATGACTTTAAAACCATTTCACTTCACAAAACTATCTTGTAAAGACATTTCACTCCGTTACAACGTGTGAAAGTAACTAACAAAATACAACAAAACTCAGTTGATTCTTCAAGGAACCTCTGTCAGCCTATGGTGTAATTAGTTCCCTCATTATACAAAACAAAATAAGCAACTGGGAACCAAATAAGAACCATACAAATGGAGACTACTTTGAAAGGTGCCCCAAGGAACAATTACAGGGCTGTGTGTTCATTGCGGTGTAGGTGGCCACTGGGCCAGAGAAGCTTTTCTCAACACACTTCCAGTATAGAACTGGAGACTGACTGCACATATGTAGTTAGTGCCACCAGGTAATTATGACCAACTGTGTTACAGCTTGACAACCTCCAGCAACTGTAGTAACAATGACACAAAGGAGGAAGTGATGTAGTTTACAAACAGCGCTGGGAAGGTTACTTTCTAAATGGGTTAGGGATTTTTAGTTAAAAGTAATGAAGCCGTTTTAATTATTTCATCAACGTAATGTAACATTTACTTTTAAATTGGGCAATAAAGCTGAAAAGTCCTAACAAATTTAAACCTTACAAAAGTACTCGACACTTATTACCATCAAACTTTTATTTAAGGTTTTTCAACACAGCTTCAGTTACATAATATATTGCTATTGAAATATGTAGCCTACTGAACGGGCACCAAGCAAAAACCCTTTTCTGGTTTCTGAAGGAGAACACTGTTGAATTTCCAGCACTGAGAAGTGTTCTTGTCTGACAACAAGACCACCTGTCCTGGCGTTGTCAGGTGGCTGTAGTCAGAGCGCTTAGTGTTCGTTGATTTGATTAGAAGACGAGGTGGTGCCAAGTCAAACGAGAACCAATCGAAAGCAATGTTCAAAATTTAACGCCTGCTGCCAAATAAACGGCAAAGGAAGACATTCTGCATGGCAAAATGATGCAAAGCATCAGAATGAATATTAAGTTATGATGACTATTACATTTTAACCAAAAAGAATACTGCATACTCAGATGTCTTTGTGCTAAAACTTAAAACTCTGATCTAATCATAACCATGTCTTTCTGACTGTTACCATGGCAACAAAGGCATGGACAAACAACATATATTGTCATTTAGGTTGAAGGACTTCCAGAAATTCAGTCTTATTTACATGTCCCGAAGAGACAGATGGATGTTTTATTTGGAGCCATGTTTTGACCACATAATGAATTCCAGTCCAATATTCAGTCTCTTGAGGGAAATATCTGGCTCTTTAGCTGCTGCATCCTCTACTATGTTCTTCAGCTAGTTGCTCTGTTTGCTGCTGAGTAAGTAATGAACAATGGGGTCATCAGAGCCTTTTCACTGAAAACGGCTGCTGGGAATGAGGCTGATCAGAGACTTTACCAGAACTGTCAAGTTGTAACTTAGAAACCAAAACAATGTGCTGAAGGATGCTAAAATCCTCCACAGAGCTGCAGGGAACTGCAGAGTCAGGAGATAATTATCCAAGGTGCTGAGTAAAGCACCACTCCACACTTAAAGTTCTTTGAAAAGACTGAAATAAGCGGCTGTGACACCACTAACGCACACTACCTGCCAGTATCCCCCACAGAGGGGGGAAAAAGTCACAAATGCTTTTTGGTTATAATTATGTGGTATATGTTTAGACAGAAATGGTAATTTTTCATCACACTGACATTACACTTGCCTTTTATTTATACTAAAACAGCCAGTTTCCCTGGACAGGAAAACTGCCTCTCTAATAACTTCTGCACCTGGAAGAGCAAACTGGGTTCGTTTCTTTGCCTTGAAGCTACAGAAAAAACAGACACTTATGAAAGTTTATATAATGTTGCTGAACTCATAAATATGTGCATATAATGTGGCTGATTGCACACATTATTAGCTGTAGGGAACACACCCTGGCATATGAAGTGTTTTTCAGTTGCTTTTCAGACAGGCTTGCTGAAAATGACACTCATGTTTGAGAGTCAACACTCCACTGCTGCTCTCTGCTCCCTACTAAGAAGCAGATGCAGTTTCCCATGTCATTATTAAACCTGGAAAATTTCGCGGAAGATGAAAGGGCTCTCCAGAGTCTTGTGGCTGGGCCGCCGCCCCACCCCGCTGGCTTCTCTGGCAGATATCACAGCCTGGCAGTGAGGAAATATAGGCCAGCTGTCCTGAGACTGCAACAGCAATCTCATCCCAAAGGAACGATTTGGTGGCTGCTGCGCCCTTAAAAAAACATTTAATCTAAATTTTCGCTTACCTTTTAAAAACAAGTTATCTGTGGGATTTTTTCCTCTTTGAACCATGAATGTTTAACGGCACACTTGATTTAAGTGTCTGTATAAGCCGCTGTGAAAGTCAAGGACAGACCAAAACCTAATCAGGAAACATAAAGTTTCAAAATACTGAGAATTAACTAGAGGACAAGAGACAACTGTGTGCAGATGGATGGGTTAAAATCTTAGACAGCGATAAATCCATTAAACATGAGTTATTCCAGCTTTTATAGTGTCTATCATGCACTGACTCTTCAGTAAATCTTTAACATCATAATATTAGCTGCTGCTTAGCTTATCA